ACATTTAGTAGAAAAAGAAAGCGAACAAACCACCCAAAGAGAAAAGCAAACAAACCATCCAAAGAGAAAAGTGAACATACAATCGTTCCAACCATTAAACTAATCTAAACAAACCCACACCAATCAACTTTAAATGAATCCATGGCATGAGATTAGGTAATCAAGTAGACCCACATTAATCAACTTGAAAACCAATCCATAACATAACACAAATAAATTGGGAATTTTTGCAGCCTAAAATTTCACTCTTTCCAAGCTAACACACATTGCTCTACTCTAAAAGCAATCAAGTGACAATAAAAATCGAATAAGTAAAACAAACCCATAATATGAGTTTTCAAACCCTAACTAAGCATAATATAAAAAATAAAAAAAATTCTAGGATTTTCAAAACTACTTCAAAAATTTTAGGGTTTTCAATTTCACAATGATTTAGTCAATATTAATTGTGCCTAGAAAATAGGGTCAATCCCAAATCTCAAAATGCATGAAGGAGAGGAAATTTTCATGCAATTATTTAGAGGGAATGTATCAATTTCAATTTTGGAAAACTAAAGGGGGGAAATGCATGAGGATAATTAATTGGCACAAATTTAAATAATTGGGTGCAAGTGCTGTCCGTGTGTGAGCATATTTTCTTTAGGCATGGGTAAACACCACAGTAATGGCAGTGCAATGACTCAGTGTTGGTTAAATTGCTGGTTGTGTATCTTTTGGTGCAACGATTCAATGACATGTATTTTTTATAATTAAAGATAACACAATCCCAAATTTCAAACACACCACTACTGCACCGTCATCCCTTAAAACATCTATGTACAAACTAATGCAAAAACATACTAATACTCGTCGTACAGTCTAATTCAACTTTGTCTATGTAACAGTTCATAACAAGACTTAGACACCTACAACACACACAACTACATAATTCCAAATGATTGTAATGTCCAACTCCATGTAGAATTGCTAGAAAATAAGTCCAAAATTAAAGCAACATAGACAATTAAGCATGTGTTTTAAAAATATAGGCATGCATTTTAAAACTAGAGGCATCTGACTAAAATCTCTTGGTAGTCCCATTGAAAAAAATTTCATGTCTTTTGGAAGTTGGAGTCTTTCAAATTTATTGTCATCCTCAAACAAAAATAAAAATTCTCTAGCTTGAAAGTTGTGATATGAGCTCTAGTTAAAACAAAAGAAATGCAATTTCAAATCCACACAATACCTCAATTTCCATAAAACTCAACAAACTTGAATTGAAACATCTATAATAGAATGCGATAGTTGTAAATATAACATCGCCAAAATAGGGAACTTACGGGTTAAGAAGAGGTACCCAATGTTTAGCACAATTGTTGTTGAGTTAGTAATTCCATGACCCAATCTCTATATGTGCCCCTGCCAAACCTCCAATTCCAAAGTATTCTCTTGCTTGAAATTAAAAAGTCTTCTCTTGATCATTTGTTCTAATTTAAACCATAACCTAAACAAAAAGAAAGCAATTGTTCCACTAATATATTGAATAGACCAATTAATCATGAACAACGTATATAATGAGAAAAAAAACAATGAACAATGTACATACCGGGAAAAAAAAACAATGAACAACATATTATTCTCTAAAGTACTCTCTTTATCAAAGTCTTCTTACCTCTCAAATATTTCTACAAAAAAAAATGCTAACATAAAAATTTAAAACTAACTGAAAAGAAAAATGTGATATACGTCTATCTGAGACATAAAAAGTGGGTGCATGAGCAAATGAGCAAATGAGCAAGTGAACCTATGTAGACTGTGAAATCATGTAGGTTAAAAAATATGCCACTACCACTACGTCATGCTAACGTTATTCAAATTGTATACTCATTAAATCACCCCTCAAATAAAAATAAAAGATTTAAAATATCTAAATCGCATATATTCAAATGCACAATGTAAAATCATAAATCCATGATAATTAAAGTCATCGCACATATAAAAATTATAAGACATCATTCACTTAGTAAATGTCCTGGTACTATGATTATCAATTTGCAAAAATAGACTATCAAAAAGTTGAAATTTAATTGAAGAAGTAATTACCAATAGGAAAATGTTGCAGCCAATATTGAGAAAATCTTTGTGCTCACTGATGTAATGTTCAATGCCTTTAACTAAACCTGAAATAAAAAAAAATTAGAAAAAGTGTTGGGAAAAGTGTTGACAAAAATCAAACCATAGAAAATTCACTAAGTTACCATTCAAACTTTGCATAGAAACATGAGTGCGATTTTGAAACTCTTAAGACAACCGATAAAGTAACATTTATCTGCCCATGGAATATATTAAAATTTTGTGAAAAAGAATAATGAGAACTTCGCCTAATTATTCGGAATCAAAAGATATGCAAACATTAAGCTCCAAATGTTTGTCCACCAAATAATCAATTCAAGCAAAAGAAATACACTCATGAATCCCAAAAATACATCAAATTAAACCTACTAACAAAACTCGGTGCAAATTGTACCTAACCTAATAACAAAATATCTCAATAAGGGGTAGTTTATGAATGCATGGAAAAACAAATAGATTGGTGGATAAATAGAGACTACACTCATGTCTGGCAATTAAATTTGACAATATTTCAAGAGTCCCAAATAATTAATAAGAAAATAAAAATTCTCAGGCAGCATTACATGGAAGACATTACCACCACCAAGTTTCTAAAAGATAGCAAACATATGCCAGAAAACAAAACCACTCTGAAGCAATACAACGGTAGCCAACCTCAACAGCTAAATGCACGGGAATGTTTAGATAGAATTTCCTCTAAAAATAGTATCCCAAAAAAGTTAAACCTGTATATACACGGTTCATAACCACCAAACATGACTCACAAATTGAATGAAATCATTTATCAATTACCGCCACAACATAAATGAATTCCATAACAACATACAAATGAAGTAAAGACAAAACGGGATTACCAATTACATTCAATTTATAGAAAGCAAAAAAGCCTAAAGTATAAAAAGTCTAAGCAATTGACTAAAAAACTTAATTCAATTTAGTACTCTAATTTCAATTCTAGAATAACATATTATCAATCCAATGTATATGCATTTAAGTACAATTTTCAAGCAAAAGAATAATAGCAATGAATACAAATCCAAGTTGAGTATTTCAAATTTATTGTCTTCCTCAAAATAAAAAGAATTCTCTAGCTTGAAAGTTGTGATATGAGCTCTAGTTAAAGCAAAAGAAATGCAATTCTAAATCCACACAATACCTCAATTTCGATAAAACTCAACAAACTTTAATTGAAACATAATTTCAACACATTATACCTATAAAAATGAGTACACAGTAAATTCATACCGATCAAAAGAAAATAGAATGATGGAGCATACAATATTTCTCTTAAGCATTCCAACAAACATTTGATGTCCATTATGGTTGACAGCAAATCAACACCTAACTAACAACTTTTGTGTGTGCGATTTCAATTTGTGGGTATGTGTAATTGTGTGTGTTGGGTGTGTGTGCTAGGTGTGTATTTGTGTGTTGTACTACGGCTAGGGGTTTGTGCGTGTGCGAAGTGTGGGGGTGTAGGTTGTGGGTGGATGTGTGCGATATTGTGTGTGTGTACATTTTTCGTAATTTATGAAAAACAGGGGTTGAGGGGGGAATTTTGTGTGTGTCGTGTTTGTGTATGGTGTGTTGTGTGATGAAGACAGAGAGAGGCATATGAAGAGGGCAAGAGAATGAGAGAGAGAAATCACCACCAAACTCGAACTTAAAAGGAAAAAGAAATTTATTACCAAATATTTTTCTATGGCATTTCAACAAACACTTCATGTGCCATGGATTGGAGCTGTTGGGAAGGGGTATGGTCATGCTGGTAACCGAAGATGGAAGAAAAAGAGGGGAAAAGAGAAAGAGAGAGAGAGAGAGGAGAGGGACAAAGAGAGAGATACCTGGAGAGTGAGAATTGTCGTTGCTGGCGACATCTCTGCTGGCAGCGTGAGAGTGAGAGAGGAACAGAGCTGTGGTGGGTTGCTGTTTGGACAAACAAAGAAAAGAGAAATATAGATCAGAGAGAGGGGTTAACGGTCGGGTGAGAAGGGAGGAGAGAGAAGGAGGGAAATTTGGGGAAGAGTGCTAGATAGAGATGGATTTAGGGGAACGTATAGGGGAAAAATGACTTTGAAATGGTGTTTGTGAGTGATAAATGATGAATTTGGGGGAAAAGAATAGGTAATTGGTGGCTGAATTGTGACCGTTCGATCGACTTATTGAAGTTCACTGTGTTTTATATTATAGATTTTGGTATAAATTATTTTATGCATAAGGATGTTTATTTATAGTATAAAAGAGTAGTGAAGTTTACTAATTTAAACGAAGTGGAACAATTATATATACATTAACAAAAAAAAAAAAATTATTAGTAATCACATAGCTATGGTCCCCAATTAGACCCAATCAAGGTAAAGGGATACTCCACACAACATCTCAAAGGCAAGAGAGCATTGGATCATCTCCTAAAAAAATACAATATTCCATGTTAGTACACTTGGATGACCTGAATTTAAAATTTAGTAATTTTTTTTTAAGATAAGTAAGATCTACTTTTGATTGAACCAAGAGAATTAATTAAAGTGTGTATAAGTTGATTCAGAAAAAAAAAAAAAAAAAAAGAAAAATTTCACCTTGTATCCCAAAAATATTTAAAATTTTCTATTTTACACTCTAAAAGGTTAAGTATCTCATAATTTTCCATTAACCGTATTAAAAACGTTTTAATGTAATCCTTTCGTTACTTTCTGTTATTTATTCTGTCAAAATTTACTACATTAGTGTTGACAAAATGAGTATTAAAAAATAACAACAATATTCTAACATTTTTAATATATTGAATATTCAATGTAAGAAATTTAATAATGCAATTGGCCCAAAAAATAATAAATAAATTAATTAATTAACTTTAGAAAACCGAATGGGAAATCTATCCCCTTATCCGGACCCAACACCAATCCACCAAAACTGTAAACAGCGCAACACAGACTTTGCGCTTCAGAACAACTCTGGACATGGCCGGAGTACTTGGAACTTCCTCTTCAGCAATCTTCGCCTCTAGACCCCTTTCTTCTCCCTCCTCTAAATCTCCCATTTTCCCTCTCTTCCCAAGTCCAGGTAAATTTCTCGGTGTTTATATGTGTATATGCGCTTATGCATGTGTTCATATTTTTGTGACCCACTTCATTACTTTGCTAAATCATTCTTTTTGAGCTACATTCTTGGATTTGGGTGTGTAAAAACACAACCCAGTTCACTCATAGTGTTTCTGTGTAGTTGAATTGCAAATAATGTTGAATTTGAGGCCTGTGATGATAATAAAGGGATGGGTTTGAGGGGATTACATGGGGTTGTGTTGATAAATTGAGTTATTTCAGGGCAGGGTCAAGGGAGGAAGTTCTATGGAGGGATTAAGAAGGGCAGATCTCGATTACATGTTTCAATTTCCAATGTTGCCACTGAAATCAGCCCTGCTCAAGCACAGGTACCAGTTTTCTAAATCAGGGTGTTTGTAATATGATGAATTTTGATAAAGGAAATTGGAACATGATTTATGTATTTACATGTTAGCTTTGAGTGTGATCTGGGTAACTTTCAATGTAGTTAATTTTTGTGCACCGTATGAGTGTTGTGCTACATTCATACTGTGTGCACTGGGTACGTCCTTTTTTTTTAGTATGAATGTTATGCTATATTTATAGATAGAGGGGCAAGTTTTTACCAATTTGATTGCTCAAATTTTCATGATGGTCATAAATATTTTTTTGCCTTTTCGAGTAGAGTTGGGGATTAATATGGAGCACTTTAGTTGCTTGCGAAAAACATTTCGTGATTGCACAAAACAATGTGTTAGTGAACACTATCTTAGGAAATGTTCTAATAATAGATGAATGAAAGCATTGCTTTTTGAAGACAATGTCATGGCGGATATTTTGTCAGAATGTTGAATTGGCATCTTTAAAGTTTGGGAAGTTTGTAAATCTCAGGCTCAGAAGCTTGCCTCAAAGGAGACTCAACGGCCAGTGTATCCATTTGCTGCTATAGTAGGACAAGACGAAATGAAATTGTGCCTTCTGCTTAATGTGATTGATCCCAAGATCGGAGGTGTCATGATTATGGGTGATAGGGGAACGGGGAAGTCCACTACTGTTAGGTCATTAGGAGACTTACTTCCTGAAATCCAAGTGGTTTCTGGTGATCCATTCAACTCAGATCCAGAGGATCCAGAATCTATGGGCATGGAAGTCCGAGAGAGAATTATCAAGGGTGAGGAACTTCCTGTGGTGATGACTAAAATTAACATGGTTGACTTACCATTAGGTGCTACTGAAGATAGAGTCTGTGGGACAATTGACATCGAAAAAGCTCTTACGGAGGGTGTGAAGGCATTTGAGCCTGGACTTCTTGCTAAAGCTAATAGAGGAATTCTCTATGTGGATGAAGTTAATCTCCTAGATGACCACTTAGTGGATGTTCTTTTGGATTCTGCTGCCTCAGGATGGAACACTGTTGAAAGAGAGGGAATCTCGATTTCACATCCCGCTCGGTTTATTCTCATTGGCTCAGGAAATCCTGAAGAAGGGGAACTTAGGCCACAGCTGCTTGATCGGTTTGGAATGCATGCCCAAGTGGGAACTGTAAGGGATGCAGAGCTTAGAGTGAAGATTGTCGAGGAGAGGGCTCGGTTTGATGGAAATCCTAAGGAATTTAGGGAATCTTACTCGGAAGAGCAGGAGAAGCTCCAACAACAAATTGACTCAGCCAGGAGGTCTCTTTCCGCAGTTCAGATAGATCACGATCTACGGGTTAAAATCTCCAAGGTTTGTGCTGAGCTTAATGTTGATGGATTGAGAGGTGACATAGTCACAAATAGGGCAGCAAAAGCATTGGCTTCTCTGAAAGGAAGAGACAAAGTAACAGCTGAGGATATTGCTACTGTTATCCCCAATTGCTTGAGACACCGACTACGTAAGGATCCCTTGGAGTCAATTGACTCTGGCTTACTCATCATTGAGAAATTCTATGAAGTTTTTAGCTGAGGAAGGTAGCAGACCTTTTATTTGTAATTTTTGTTGCACCGTTGCAGTTCAATTCAGTATTGTTGTTTTGGTACCTACAGTTTTCTGTTTCCATTTGCTCAGTATCTCTGAGTTCGTTTAAGGTTAGAATGCTCTAGTTACCTATGTTGTTGAGGAAGGATGTGGTTGGTTTTGGAAGAACTTATCCCATATATACAAGTTGACACATTGTAGTTTCTTTGAGAATTCTACTTCTCGAATTCAAAGATGTACTCTTTTGATTCACATGTAACCTCTCTAAATTTAATCGATTTCTAATGCTTGCCTTTGGTGTGATGGCTTATCCGCTGGTAAGTCTTTCACTTTCATCAACTGCCTATCAAAATCATACTCTGCCTTCCATTCTGAATTCTTGCTGTAGAGATGGTTGCTAGAAGAAAGACGGTTACTGATTTGCCAGCGGCTTCTTTTATTCCTGTGCATTTCGATATTAATCATTGTTCGTGTTTTTGTTGCTGGGAAAAACTTAACCTGTGCATGTGCAGGTTTGTTTGCCTCCTTCATTCGGTTTTTCTGGGAAGGCAGTTTGTGATATTGTTACTTTTAAGAGGTGAAAAACAGTGTTCTTGCTCTGGGCAGAGTTGCATCCAGTTTCATAACAAGCTTTACTAGCAGGTAGAATGTTCAACAGTGTTTGCATTGGTCATGTTTGTAAAGATTCCAATTTGATTTCACTAACATCTTCTGATCCTAACACCAATCAAATGGCTGAAATATTTCAATATTTAGGTATTCTGCCCGAAAAAACCTCCAGTTGATGCTGATTAGAATCATGTTGCATAGGTGATTAGAATCGGCCTCTGGATTCGTGGCTTCAGGATGATCAGAGGCCACTTCTGTTCCAAAATTTAGGCTTCTGCTCTTGAAATTCTGGTGACCGCTGGTACACTATTGATGCAGCCTGGATTAAAATTCCAGCAGTTAAGGCCCATATGACATACTTCTTATTCTCTGCTTCATAATCGAAGAAATGGAGCAGATACTTGTCCCCCAGCCATTCTCTCTCTTCTGCTCTTCGATTTTCATCCTGAATCCATCAACATAACAAGTGAATTAAAATCAATTAAGGCAAATCAAAACCAAAAAGGGTGAGAGGAATACCTTGAGAAATACGAGGGAGAGTGACTGATAAAGTTGTTAAACTGTGTAATTTTGATCAACATTGACGCATTTGACAGAGGAATACCTTGAGAAACATTTCTAATGGAGCTTCGAAAATGGCTTCCACTTCTGCAGCATTTGGAACAGGTTTGAATGCTTGCTTATCATAAAGTATGCCCATCACAGGAACTACCGTCATACCACGCTGAACCAACAAGATAACAGTCTTTGAACTTTTAGAGAACAGTTTAGGAGGGGTGGAGAAAATCGTGGAAAAGGTAGAATAGACTGAATTAAACCACGGGACTATAACTGATAGTCAAAGTTCAGCCTAAAAAGTTCGATTACTTAATCAAGCTTAAAAAATTATTTAAATTTAACTTAAAACGAGCTGGGATATATGCACAAGTCAAGCCGAGCCTATCAAGTGTTTGAGCTGAACATGTGGGATTCGTTTTTTAAACGAATTTAAAAAATTGTTCAAGGGCACAAACCAAGCTTAACTCAGACAAAAATGAGTTGAACTCGATCCAAACTTGAATACATCAGTTTGATTAACAGTTCTAAACGTCAATTATTGAACCCCTGACCTCTTGGCCAAGAGAATCTTCCAAAACAATGGAAGTGCTTTTTTTTTTTTTTTTTCTGTTGAGTCAAAACAATGGTAGTGAATTAAACCGAAGTTACGTCAAATGCAACCATAACACATATGAATAAGAACCACATAGCAAACACCAAATTCTTTTATACCTTGGTTATAAAGGGTTGAAGAACAGTAACAACATTGACAAGTGAAGGGTCCAACCCTATCTCCTCCTTAGCTTCCCTCAACGCCGTCTCAATGTCATCAACATCGCCTTTCTCTGTCTTCCCACCAGGCAACGAAACATCTCCTGCAACCAAACACAACCCATTTCGGTCTTCTCTCTTCAAAATCAACTATGTTAAAGACCAGAATCTAATACATATACCATGAGACTCTGACCAGAGTGAGACGAAAGTGTTGAAGATCGCTTGGTGAGAATTACACGAAGATCACCATTTTCGCCTTCGAAGATGCAGATCAGAACTGCGGCTCTGTTGGATCTCAATCTTTCAGATTGGTTCGCAATTGGGTTTGTCGCAGATTCGGTGTTCGAATCGAATTCTTCGGGAAACAACTTATCTGATGTGTCTCGAATTGTTGGGTCTTCATTGGGATTCTTGTTTTTGGTGTCGTTTAGAGGGTGAAGAGGCTTGTAGATACTAAGCTGTTGCGCCAAGTCTTTCAACCTCTGGGATCCTCCGCGGTAGTTACTGGAACCCATGAGCTATTTGAGAGAGAGAGAGAGAGAGAGAGAGAGAGAGAGAGGGAGAGATTTTCTTTGGGGAATATGAACATGGACCGAATGTTATTGGTCATCTTATACCCCGAGTACTTAGTATTCGGACTTTTTTTGTACAATGCGTGGGTTCGAATCTTCATATTTACATATGCAGATTGATCTATCTACGTTCCTATTTTAAATACCAAAAAAATAATATTATTGATTTTTTTTTTTTTGGTCATTATATTATTGATCATGCATTGACAATTTTGTTCTAGTTTTAAAGATCCATTTAACAGCAGGTTCTGAGAGCCAACCTTTTTTATGTGCGCTGATCAAAGCTATTCTTACCTCTAGCTTATTATATGCTTCAATTTCTTTCTTGAAATATGATGAATTAATGAGTTACGTGTATATAATAAGTCCTACTTAATATATCATAACTAATTTGTTAAAAAAATTAAGAAAAAATATATTAAAAAAAATATTAATTACACTAAAAGTTCCTAAAGTATGAAATTTATCTCATTTTGATCCTCAATATTTTTAATTGTATCATTTTAGTCTCTAAAGTATTAAGTATATTTCTATGTGATCCCTCAAATAGACAGCGTCTAGATTACTAAAATTTTTTTATTATAAATTTATTACATAATACTTAAATATGAGCAAAGAAATAATTTGGATAACTTTGACAAAATTTTTGCTTAAATTTTGATCAAAGAAATACCCAAATTACATAATTTTGATTATGAACTATTCAAATTTTGATCAAGAGCTAACAAAATTATACATTTTTTGTCGAGAGTTACAAGTATTTGGTTAACAACTATACAATTTTTTTTTCTCATAGTTAGTATTACGTAACAAACTTATGATAAAAGACCGTTAGTAATTTAAATGTTGTTTACTTGAGAAATTACATAAAAATATATTTAATACTTAAAGGATCAAAATAATACAATTGACATATTGGGACAAAAATGAGACTAACGCTATACTTTAAGGACCTTCACTGTAATTAACCCTAAAAAAAAAACTCACTCCAACTTTGTGGACAATTGTCCTTGCCATTTCTTAGGGTCAGCTAGGGTTACAAAAAGATAGGGTTGGATGAAAAGTACACCATATGTCACAAGGCCAATCAATGGAATCAATTTTGAGTTAAATATGATTTGCCAGATATGAATGTATATTTGAATCTAAATCCTTTATATCATATTTTAGAGAGTCTGATTTAGATATATATCACCAGTCCAACTGTGATCTAATCCGACATGGGTATATATAAATCTCTCTCTCCACCAAGGTTCTAACAGAATAGCTTGTCAAAGCACCCATCATAATTGGTTAATGTTTTAAGTGAATCAATACTCTACAATGTTTCTACATTCAGAAGGATGAATACTGAAGTTTCACACTAAAACATGAAAAAACAATATGACTTATAGCAAGGCCACTTCTATTCATAAGCCAACAGAGAAGGGTTTTTCTCATTTTTTGGAGAAAAGAGAGAAAAATTCCTTTCATCAGGCAAAGAGCAGTTCTGGCTTTCATGATCGTCATTCAAGCTGAAGCTTTGCAGCTGAACTTCTATTTTTCTGAACTGGTTTAAACTATCTCTAAAATGGTAGTATGGATAGCCTTTCCTCCACAACCCTGTGAACTATATTCTGAAAGGTATTGATGTCATAGAATAAGCATTCTGCGCATGGAAGGAGGACCTGCGAGGACACCAAGCAGTCAATAGCTATGCACAAACAAAAACTTCAAATTCATTGGCGATGACTGACCTGGGGGAAGCTCAGAAGGAAGATCTAGAGTGAGTGTCTTGACAATAATACTCCAGGAAGATATTGCTTCACACTTGTTGCCAATTGGCTCCAAAATCTTATTCTTTTCAAAGCCTTGTTTTAATCTGAATGGTAGGCAGAAGATCAGTAAAACTTAACAGGTCTAACGTTTATATATCGGTCTGATAGTCTAAAAAGTACAGCAGACCATGCACTTTGAAATAACCAAGTTCAACATCTCCAGCCCACTGTATCTCCTTTGATCTCCGAGGATAATAACATGCATTACAACCAAATTAATAATAACTAAAAACAACGCATAAAAGTATCCAAAACCTTGGGCTTAAATTTTGGATTCTGCTCCAGGAAAGCTGGTGACCTTTTGAACACAACAGATGCTGCCCTAATCAGAATCGCAGCAGTTAAACCAAATATCACATACTTCTTATCATTCATTTCATAGTCAAAGAAATGCATCAGCCACAGGTCTCCAGCCCACTGTATCTCTTTTGATCTCCGATTATCATCCTGAACAACCATTGCAAAATTATATATCTCCGAAGCCATATAAACTCCTAGATAGACAAGAGGCAAACTCAGAGTCGGAATTAAAGATTGAAACCTTTAGAAACATTTCCAAGGGAGCGTGAAATACTGCTTCCACTTCAGCAGCATTAAGAGCAGGCTTGAAGGCTTTCTTATCAGAAAGTATGCCAATGACAGGAATTACTATAATGAGGTGCTGCATACGAAAGATAAAATTGTTAGTATGTTACATCAGAAAAAATGCAGAGAAACACTAAATTTGAAGTTTCAAGCCTAGGTTTTACATATCAAAGGATGTCCAGTGTATGCGTGTCACTTGATGATCAAATTCTAGAAACCTTCTCATTAGGACATATGCTACCAATAGGATTTTCAAAGAATTACAATGGTTCAATAATTTGTGAATGTGTATTGAAATGCCAATGACCCTCAACAGAAGTAACTATGTACATGCAATTCATCAATAATGTCAAAAGACTTCTCCTGGAGACATCATGATCCTGCCCACATTGACATTAACTAAGCTGGTGTAAGGATGATGCTGTGAAAGGCATATTATACTTACCAAGGACAAGAACTGCTCAAGGGTAGTCACAATATTCACAAATGAAGGATCCAAGCCTATCTCTTCCCTGGCTTCTCTAGTTGCTGTCTCGACATCATTTGCATCTGCCTCCTCTGCCTTCCCTCCAGGCAACGCAACTTCACCTGCGGCCAAAACCACTTATTTTGGTGAAATCAACAAAAACCAATACCCCCAAAAAAAAAAAAAGCAATTATTAGTGACAACAACAGAGTGTTGCTAAGAAAACTGAACAAGAATACATTAAAAACCATAATCACTATCATCAAGAGAAAATATGCATTTCCTTCAATGAACAGAAAACAAGAACAAAGTCACACAAATCTCCATAGCCAACATCATAGAACAAAAAAAACAAATGGAACCAATGAACAAATACTAAATCAAATAAACCCATACATGCACAATCTTCATAATCATGTCATACCAAATGAACCCATGTGGTCATTAGACCGACCAATACATATAACGCCCACTTGTCAAACTGGAGAAAATCCATTAGTTTAATTGCCTTAAGATTCATTTGCTGCATACAAGCATATTGATCATCATCATCAACGAAAGACTCCCAATACAACCTATTCACATGCAACCATCATCAACAACCAACAACACCCGCTTGCTAAACTATCAAAATTGTCATTGGCCAAAACTTTTAGGCCCTTACACACTATAATGATCATCATCAACCAATGACACCGAGCTGCTAAATGAAAACAAACCACTAGGTAAATTTGCTCTAAATTTCCACACAAATACACCTTTGGGAATGAATCTACGGGGCTATCACCTTCTTTGGCCAAATCTTCCAACCTTTTCACAATTACAGTTCTCTGCCCCCTTTACTAGAAAGTAAAAGGGCTTGCTATTTTTTCCATCATCCAATCCACAACAAATCGAATGAAACCTAGCGAAAAAGAAGTGAACACTTTGCTAAGGAACAAAGCTTCATGTTTGTTTTTCTTCAAACCCCCAACCCGCTATCGCTTGCTGCTACTACTGGTGTCTCAGTTGATTTCCCTTCCTTTAGCTACTCAGATGTTTCAGTTCGCTAAGTTTGAAAAGTCCAAAAAGTCCAAAGACGGCAGACTGCCGATAAGAAAGGAGACAAGAACTTCAATAAACTAAAGGAGCGGAATCTCCTCCAATTACCGCTTGCGGATCTATTTCATATAAGAGTTATAACACTCTAATTAACTGACAAAGTGTCCTCTGTTCACTGAGGTGGTTGTAATTGCAATATTGACTTTTTTTTATCAAGATTAGGTTGGTGTTCAGTGTACCTTAATACAAGATCGAAAATTCATCATCAACCAAATAAAGCAACCAGTAACAATATACACAACTCAAGACAATCACTTGCTAAATAATCAGAAATCAGTGGTTAAATTGCTCAATCCAATAGAAAAGCATTAACTTGAGTGAGTAGAAAGCTTGGAAGCCCTCTTAGTGAGGATGACACGAAGATCACCATCATCCCCTTCAAAGAGACAGATCAGAACTGCAGCTCTCTTGGGTCTGAACTTTTTTGGCTCATTGGCCATTGGGGTTGCAGACTCTGGAAAACCCACTTGAGAAACAGCCTTCCCGGCACTGTCTTCAATGCTTTCCTCTTCAACATCAATTTCATAAATCGATCGAGGAGGTTTATAGAGACGAAGCTCTTGAGCTAAGGCTACGAGCCTTGGGGAACAACCACTGAAACCGTCGGTTTGTGAATCCATAGCGACTTTGGAGAGAGAATTCGGAGATGCCATTGATATTGTCGCTCTTCTACGAAGTCAGAGCTTGTCCTACGTTTTGGTAGTATCAACTATTTCAGAAATGGATTGGGGACCATTTTTTCATATTTAATAATAAGAGTTTATTATTTTATTGGGTAGTCATATGTTTTCCTCTTGAATAAGGATTGATGACTGCTTCTTAGCCTATTTAATTTATAAATCATCGTTAGTTTATCTGGACTAGACAGGAACAAGACACTAACCCATCGGAACTAGAGGCCCAAGCCTCTGTCCTCCATACCCTTTCTCAACGCTGTGTCAGTGACATTGGCATCGCCTTTCTCTGTCTTCCCACCAGGCAATGAAACATCTCCTGCAACCAGAGAAACCCATTTGGTCTTTTCACTTTAAATCAACAATGTAAGAAAAGAAATATTGTATATTCCAGGAGACTCTCACAAGAGTGAGTGGAAAGTGTTGAATATCGATCGGTGAGAATTAGGCGCAGATCACCATCTTCGCCTTCGAAGATGCAGATCAGAAATGCAGATCTGTTGTATCTCAACCTTTCAGCTTCGTTGGCAGTTGGGTTTGTCGCAGATTCTGTATTCGAATCAAATTCTAGGGGGAAACAGCTTATCTGCAATGTCTTGAAATCTTGGTTCTTCATTGGGATTCTTGTTATTATTGTCGTCTAGAAGGGGCGAACAGGCTTTTTAGAGACGAAGTTGTTGCGCTCCCTCTTCCAAACTTGGGGGATCCTTCGGTTGTATATTGGAACCTATGAGCTACCGAGTTTTGGAGAGTGGGGGGAGAAAGAAAGTACCTTTTTTTTTTTTTTTTCTCTATAGGATATTATTATTATTATTTTTTGATTAATGCTGCACTTTGTGCAAAATTATCTCTCCACAAAAGACAAATGTATGAATAATAGAACAAAGAACTATATTTCGGGCGATTTTATTATTATTATTTTTAATGTTTTAGTTATTATAATAAATTAATGGACCTTTGATCTAATAATATTTTTCGATCTTGTGAAGACTTTATCATATTAAATTATCCTTTTTTTTAATATCCTAGGTGTCTGAAGATAAATTTATGGACGATGATCTTAGGTGGTTGAGCTACTACTAGAGTAACCCCTTTCCAATTTTGTTCTCCATGGGGTATTATTGATATGGAAAATGTTATGCTTATTAAAAATTTTTACTAAATCTTTTATATCAAATGATGAAGTATAATCTATGTCATTTAATATTAATAGGACCCACTTATTTGATATTGAAAAACGGTACCACATCACTTGAGGTGGAGATTTGATAAAAAAAAATAAAATTGGTAAGTATAACATTACCGTATTAATATTAGTTTATGCATTCAAAAATTTGTTCTAGGTTTAAAGATCCTATGATTTGGGTGGATAAATTATACTTTGACCCTCTAAACTATGGACTTAATTTTACTTTGTCCTTTAAAGTATTGAATTTTTCATATTATCCCCTCCACTGTTTGAATTATTTCACATTTCCCTAATTACAAACTTATGTTATTTTTTTAGATAAAAATTGTTGATGTGTCGAGACAAAGTGAAAAAATTTATATAATTCAAAGAATAAAATGAAACGACGTCCCATTAAATATGTAACGGTTGTTCATAATTGATTAATGTGAAACTAAGATCATAAATGAAAAACACAATAGTTGAAGGCGTCAAAGTGTAATTTGTGCATCACATTTCTTTCCTTAACGTTCGTTGGCCAAAGCTTTTGTTGGTCTAGCTTTCTGGACCATTGTCTTTTGTACTTCTCACGCTGGATTTTGCACGTGCAGGGGTCAGATGGGGGCTATAACAAGATATGGTTTGATGGAAACTACAACTAATGTATAAAGCTCGTTAAGGGAGTTGATTTTGATTCGAATCTAATTAATCGAATATGATGGTCTATTTAATCCCGAATCTATATCATCTTTCAAAAATTTTGATATTTGAATACCTAATCCCACTGTGACCCAATGAGAAACCTTGCAAACTCAAACGCTATCTTCATATCATAGCTTTCCAATGCAAATAATGCTATATAAACTTAAAATACAAACTTGATCAACCACTGCTTGATTTTACTTTGAATCCTAGTATTTATTAGGACTTCTTATCATTCAATGATTGTGATTGATCAAGTCACAAGTGACATTTTTCGACACCCATCAAAATTGGCCCAAGTGAATGAAGATTGTATACAATATTTCAATGTTTCCAGATATCAACATTGAAGTTCCACAGAAAACACATTTACAAACAATCTGACTTATAGGAAGGCCACTGTCATATTTAAGTCAGCAGAGCTTTGGCTATTATAATTTTCATTGAAGCTGAAGCTTTGTAGCTCTTCTTTTTTGCTGAACAGATCTAAACTATCACACTTGCAAACTCAAACTAACTCCAAAACTGAGAAATTATCCCAAGATGTCGATGCAGTGGAATAAGCATTCTGTGCACCGAAGGATGCCCTGCGAGAACACCAAGCAGTCAAACGAAAACTTTGAAGTCATTAACGATGACAAACCTGGGGGAAGTTTAGGAGAAAGACTTGGAGCGAGTTTTTTGTCAATAAACTCTACGAAAATGTTACTTCAGACTTGTTGCCGATTGCCTCCAACATCTCGGAGTTCAGTTCTTTTCAAAGCCTGGGTTTAGTCTAAATGAGCAGCAGATGTTCAGTAAAAAGTGCAACAGATCAGCAATAAAATTACCAGTTCAACACGTCCAGCTCAGAGAGGACAATAATATGGTTAAAAACAAAACTAAATTAAAATAAATCTAAGCATTATTATGTCCACAATCCAAGGCACCTTAAATTTTGGATTCTGCTCCAAGAAAGCCGGTGGTCTTTTGTAAACAACAGATGCTACCCGAATCAAAATCCGAGTTAAACCAAATATCACATACTTCTTATCATTTGTCTTATAGTCAAAGAAATGAACCAGCCACATGCCTCTCCTCCACTTCGTCTCTACTGATCTCCGATTTTCATCCTGAACCAACCATTTCAAAATTCAACCTCCAAAACCATATGAATTCCAACTAGATAAAACGTGAATAAACAGAGTTGGAAGTAAAGTTTGAAACCTTGAGAAACATTTCCAATGGAGCATCAAATACTGCTTCCACTTCACTAGCATTAGGAGCAGGTTTGAAGGCTTTCCTGTCAGAAAGTATGCCAACAACAGGAATTACTCTAACGAGGTGCTGCATACGAAAGATAAAATTGTTAGTGTGTTACACAAAAAAAAAAAGGGTAAATTGCATCGTCATCTCATGAACACTACACTCCCTTCTGCTTTGATTGTCGGTAATAGATTCACCATGCTGTTTAGCGTTCTATTAAGAAACCGTTAATGGTTTAATGAGGTAAGAATCAATATATCGAAGATACTAGTATTACTCTTCTAAATCCTAAATAGCCAAATATCGCAGGAAGTATAAAGGGCTTTCAAAGAATGACAATGGTTCAAAAATTGTGTTATGTGATTGCAATGCCAAAAACCCTTCGCAGAAGCAACTATGTCGCCAATAATGTTAAAACAACTCTCCCAGAGACATTATGATCCTGCCCAAGTGGAGATTAACTAAGCTGGTGTAAGGATATTGCTGCGATAGGCATATTATACTTACCAAGGACAAGAATGGCTCAAATGTAATTACAATATTTACAAATGAAGGATCCAAGCCTATCTCTTCACTTGCTTCTCTAGTTGCTGTCTCAGCATCATCTGCATCTGCCTCCTCTGCTTTCCCACCAGGCAATGCAACTTCACCTGCAGCCAAAACCACTTATCTGGGTGAAATCAACAAAAACAAACACAAAAAATGGAAAATTATTGGTGACAACAAAAGACTCTTGCTAAGTAAGCTGAACAAAATTAAAAGAGAGAATTACACCTAGACTCCTTGAGGTTTATTACTTAATCACTGAGAACCCTAGATATTTAAAATATTACACACAGACTCTCTGAAATTTGTATGCGCATAACACTTAGAGCCCTGCTATAAATATATCATTTAATAAATTACACCCAGACTCCCTAAAGTTTGTAAACATATATTAATAAGACTCCTTAAGTTTAAAATCTTATAGTTAGACCAAAAATACTTCAATCAAAGATAAAATATTAAATATTTTAAATTTTACAATTAAAATTCATGTTCTATTGTATCATTTGTTGAAATAAATTCAAAAATAAAAATTCAAATTTTTCTTAAAAAATCGTAATTAGTATACAATTATATTGTTTATTAGAATTTAATTTGGTCGTTTAAATGACCAAATTAAAATACCAAACTACACTAATTAAAGCTAAAAGATATTGTGTCCATTAAAGTTTGATTCCTTGTTTAATTTTTTAGTTTTATTCTAATAGATAGTCTAATTATATACTAATTATGATTTTTTAAAAAAAAAAAACTAAATTTTTAATTTTAATTTTATTTCAATAAATGACATAATAGAACATGAATTTTGGATGTAAAATTCATGTTCTATTATGAATGACTTAAACCCCTTGTTTGATTTGTTAGTTTTATTCCAATAGATAATATAATTGTATATTAATTACGATATTTTAAGAAAAAATTAAATTTTTAATTTTAATTTTACTTCAATAAATGATATAATAGACCATGAATTTTAGTTGTAAAATTTAAAATATTTGATATTCTATCTTTAATTAGAATATTTTTTGTCTAAGTATAATATTTTAAACTTAAAGGGTTTAAGTATTATATACCTACAAATTTTAAGGGAGTCTAAGTGTAATTTATTAACAAATATATTTATAGTAGGGGTTTAAGTGTTACGCACGTACAAACCTCATAGTGTCTGTGTGTAATATTTTAAATGTCAAAGGACCTGAATAATTAAGTGACAAATCTCAGGAGACCTAGACGTAATTCTCCCAAAATAAAACAATACAAACCATAATCAGTAATCACCATCATCAACAAAAAAGCATCCATTTCCTCAAATGAACAGCAAACAAGAACGAATACAAAATTCTCCCAGTCCACATCATGCAGAAGAGAAGGAATTGATTAATTAAACCAATCAATAAATATTTAACATAAACATCAAAATCTAACTGCACCCCATCTCTGATATGATCAAATAAACCAACTTATACACGCACAATCTTCATAATAATCGTCATACCCAAGGAGCCCATATGCTTAATTAGACGGTTGTGTTTTGTGTGTGCGATGAACAATCAATTTAACAGAATAATAGAAAAATAATACAAGAATTTACGTGAATTGACAATTTGTCCACATACACGATCCTAGCGGCGGATTTATTTTTATTCCACACTGAATTAGGGTTATAACTTAACTTATTTATGTTACAATCTAATTAGGGCATTCCGAAGGCACGTGCTGCTCCATACCGTACAACACCCACTTGACAATCTGAAGAAAATCCACAAGTTAAATTGCCCTAAGACCCAAAACTTCGTTGCATACACAGGATACTCGATATTGGTCATTATAAACCAAAAACAGCCACTAGTAACCAATTAACCATATATACACAATCAAGACAAGCACTAGCTCAATAATCAGAAATCACAAGTTCAATTGCCCAAAATAATTAGAAGGCACTGACCTGAGTGAGTAGAGAGCTTCGAAGCCCTCTTAGTGAGAATGACACGAAGTTCACCATCATCCCCTTCAAAGAGACAGATCAGAACAGCAGCTCTATTGGGTGTGAACTTTTTTGGCTGATTGAACACTGGGGTTGCAGAATATGCAAAACCCAGTTGAGGAACAACCTTCCCTACGCTCTCTTCAGTTCTTTGCTCTTCATCATCAGTATCATCTAACGTCGGAGGAGGTTTGTAGAGACGGAGCTGTTGAGCTAAGGCTATAAGTCTTGATGATTGTAATCGGTTTGGTGCCATTGATAGGGATGCTGTTTATGACCAAAAAAAAAAAAAAGGGTTAATCTCATTTTGCACCCTAAAAGATTGTTCAAATTTCAATTTGTACCCTTAAAGATCAAAAATTTTAATTTTCACTCTCAAAGATAGAAATTTGTATCAATGTGCATCTCCAAAGATAAAAAATCTCAATTTGCACCCTCAAAGATAGAAATTTGTATCAATGTGCACCTAAAATTAAATTGATAAATTATACCTAGATCCCCTCATGTTTGTCACTTAATCATTTGAACTCCTTCACATTTAGAATATTCTCCTCACATCTCATAACGTTTGTGCATGTATAACACATAACCACTTTTCGTTGATATCTGTTAATATAATCATTAAAAAAATATGATTTTATCCTAATAAAAAATTATAATTTCATATTACATTTTATTTTGTGGATTCGATATACTCTAAAGTTAAAAATCAAGCTTACCATTTGAATGTCTAATAAAATGTAGATATTTATATAAAAGGTAATATGAAAAACATTATATAAATATTTATATTTTATTAAATATTCAAATGGTAAACTAGATTTTGAACTTTAGAATATATTAAACCCATAAAAAATAGGGTAATATGAAATTATAATTTTTTATTAGGATAAAATTATATTTTTTAACGGTTATATTAATAGATATCAATGAAAATGGGTTACGTGTTATACGTGCACAAATGTCATAAGATGTAGAAGTAATATTCTAAATGTGAAGAGGTCTAAATGATTAAGTGACAAGTATGAGGGGATTTAAGTATAATTTATCAATTTAGTTTTTAGGTGCACATTGATACAAATTTCTATTTTTGAGGGTGTAAATTGAGATTTTTTATCTTTGGGGTGCACATTGATATAAATTTCTATCTTTGAGGGTGCAAATTGAGATTTTTGATCTTTGGGGGTGCACATTGATACAAATTTCTATCTTTGAGGGTGTAAATTGAGATTTTTGATCTTTGAGGGTGCAAATTAAAATTCAAACAATCTTTCGGAGTGCAAAATGAGATTAACCCAAAAAAAAAAGATAGGGATGGTGTTCAGTGAGAGAATTCCCTTAACTTTTGGTGGGTATCAACTGTGCACAAGTGCCTCGGCGTCTGGCCACCATTTTAAAAATTATATAATAAAATAAAAGTGTGTTTAAATTTTATCTCACTCATATTTTTTTCCCTCAAAACTATCACCAATTACTTACCTCATCCATCATTCTTTTGTCAGATTCAAACGTCAAATCACATCACTCATTTCTATCACATATTTGATTATTTATATATTTCTTCCCTAAAAATATCACATAACTCATTTCTATCATATATTTAATTATTTAATATTTAATTAATTTATAATTAATATATTTTAAAAAAATTTAATATAATAGGATCGATTTTTTAGACGCTCCAACTTTATATTTTATCGTGCCTTTAAGCACGGGTTATAACTAGTCTAATAATAAGAGTTGACTAGTTTTAATGATATGGACGATAGCCAATTATAGGGGAAGGCTACGGTACTGCTGGCCAAAATTCTGTACTGTACCGAAAAGTTGCGGGGCCTTATCAGACGAAATACAAAAAAGAAAACAGTAGAGCATAAAAGAACAATCGATTAAAAGGGTTACTTGCAAGTTGAACTACTAAATTATAATCGATCAAAATTTATAATGATCTATCGAACTTTACTTTTGAGTTACAACAAAGTAGATGAAGGTAGGGGTTGCTAGGTAACAATAGGTAAAACAAAGATCGATCACTATAATTATGTTCGATCAATTTTGTAATTATGTTCGATTTCAGAAGGAGTGTGATCGAAAAAATGTTATGATCGATTGTAAATTTAAATGATCGATCGATTGATTTTTTAAAATGAGTTACAACAAGATGGATGAAGGTGGTGGTTACTGGGGAACAATAGGAATATTTTTGATCGATCGATGTATTTATAAATTGATCGATCATAAAACTTATGATCAATTAGTTTATAAATATGTTCGATTTTTGAAGGAATGAAATGTTTTGAGATTGAACAAATAAATTGTGGTTAATAAGACACTGAATGTTTTGTAATCGATCTAATAATGATAGATTGATCATTAAATATATGATAATTTACAGCCAAAAAAATTCGAAATAATAATCATTATTTTATGGGTTGTGATCGATCAATAAAATTACGATTGATCAACAAAAATTGTTCAATACAAAATACATTAATTTCGATTTGAATAAAAGATATGAAACTACAAAAAACACCTGATATAAATAGAGGGGCATAAGCTAATAGATGTTGGGTTTTTTTGTCATTTTGCACCTTAAGTGCTATCGATACCCATTGCAGGTGTATTACCCCGCCATTAACGAATTCTCCCAAACCCTAACTCCCTTTACTTGAACAAGTTATGTATACTACAATTGGGCTCAATCGACTGTTCTCCCAAACATATAGGTCCTTTGTACATTCAATTCAAGAAGCTATAATCCCTTGTAGATTGACATGGCCAGAGGAACAGCCGGAGTGACAAAGAAGAGGAAGCCAGTGAATGGGATGACTAAGCAAGTCGTTATTGCCCAGAAGAAGAAGGATGGTGAAACAGATAAGAGTTCGAAAGGTGACACTGGTTTCTTAAACGAAGAAGCAAAAACTTTGTTTGAAATCGGCCATTATTAGTGGAACGAGGCGTTGCACTGGGTGAGTTAGTTAATACCGAGTGTCCTAAGTTTTTTAGAGGTTGTAATTGGGAGAACATCTTTGATGTTAAGAAGGATGATAAGGCATATAACAATGTTGTTAGATTATTTTATGCAAATTTACATGACTTTGATAAGGTTGGGCACACTTTGAAGTCTGTAGTTAAGGGTAAAGAAATAAAAGTTTTCCCTAATTTTATTTCAAAAATGTTGAAAGTTCCCAAACCTGTCATCACTGAGAATTCCATTGTATTTCCTTACAAAAGTAAAGAGGAAGTCCTTAGCATGGAAACGGTTATTGAAACAATTTGTGGTGTTGATATCGAATGGGCGGATGAGAACAATAAAATATATCAAAAAAACCTTCGTTTGCTTTATAGGATGTTAAACATAATAGTTGCTTGTAACATTGATCCCAAAGGACATACAACTGAATTTGGATATGATAGAGCTCAACTTCTATATGCGATTGGTAAAGGGGGATGCATTGACCTTCCCCATTACATATTCTAGCTGATTATGAATGCCTATGAGTTGCAAGATAGCAGGCACAAACATTGTGAAGTTTTATGGGGTTGTGATTGACCCTGACGAATCGTATACTGCTGTCATGGGTATGATAAATGAGGGTACTATGAAAAAAAATACTGGTCATGCGGGGCCTAGAAATTTTATCAAGACTATGTCACATGTGTCTTACTCCCAAACTGAGGGCATTACTGTGACAGAGGGTGAGGGTTCAAGAGTCAATCCATTCAACATGAATACTATTGGAGAAAAGCTGGAGCAAATAGTAACTAGGCAAAATTGTTTGGCCACACAGTTGCATGCCATTCAGGAATGCATGAAGGGATGTTTGGAAAAGTTAGAGAGTAAGATTGATGGACTGTACAAGGAATTTAAAGAGTATGGAAAGAAGTGATGTTGATGGGTTTTGTGTGGAAGAAATTCCTATGAATGGAAATGTGTATATGCCTGTAAATCTTTTGGGCCATATTAGATTTGGTGACCTTGTAACCTATAAAATGTAATCAATTCTGTTGAATAGGATCTTTTGGCAATAGTATGGAATATTTTGTTGTATGGTGTTGTTAATAGTAGTTTTTACAAAATCATTATTTTCAGTAACATTACAGTAGTATCTTAACATCAAAATGTAGTAACCTTACATCAGAATATAGTAACTTGACATCAACATGTAGTAACCTTTCATCAAAATGTTATAACCTCACCCTTAAAGATTACAACATTACCTCTCCGTGTAGTACCCTTAAAAAAATTTGTTAGAACTGATATAAGGTTACCTCGTTCCACTGACAGGAGTAATACAACAAAGCAATGACCCTTGTATAGAACAGTAGTTCCTCCCTCTCAACCATCTTTGTTTACCTCCCTAAAATTCCATATACTTCCCCAAACCAAACTACCAACTGCACATTTGTTAGTTCAACAACAAAGCAACATACATTGGAAGAAGAAAGCAGCAACATACTGATCAGTTGGATAGGCAAGCGTGTAGAGGAAAAACATATAAATGAGATTACTAATATAATTGTAGGTGAATCCCACCTGGTTCATGTTGGTGATGTAGCAATTGTAGAAGTTTGTCCAAAATGAGTTGCAAACTTGAAACTTGTCACTCCTGATTTGCGTACATGAAAGTTGTCCAAAATGAGTTTCATACATTAAACTTGTCAAAAGGTGGGGGTTTTACCCTGTGTAAAATTGTTTTGAATTTTTTAGTCAATTTAAATAACGTTTATTATGCAATTTTCACAATGATATGAAAATAATCACCTTGACAACCCTTAAAGTGGAGTGAAGAATTGTCCATGACCACTTAAGTGAAAGTCATGAAAGTCATCCTAAACAGTCAATGTATCGATAAAGAATGATCAGTTAAATGGTGCATTGCTTGATAACTTATCAAATAAAAGGAGAACTTTGTATTATAAAGATGTTATTGAACTCCACCCATATTTATGTACATGTGCGAAATGGTCAAACGGTTCCTGAGTTGGCAATGGTTGTTGGGATCCATCTGCTTGTGAAAAGGGCATGTCCTCATATGGATCAATAGTCTGGGTAGTCAACAAAGGACATTTACGAATATTATGCCCAGTTACCCTGCACTTGCTACATCTTCGGGACGTAAATGGATTATTATTTCGTATACGACCTGGATGTCCCTTTGTTGTAACAATATATGGATCAGTTACCCCAAACGTATATAACTCAGTAGTCCTACTTTTGTGTTGTGTAGCGGTCTCCTCTGCTATACAAAGGGATTTATGATTGGTCTTCACCTGAGAGGTTAAGCCATGCAATGTACTTCTTAGGTCCTTAGTTGCTTTGTAACCATGCGAATCATAGTAACACATATGACTACACATGGTCATTAGTCCAGCATACCATGTCGAAATGGTCAGAGTGTTACTTCTAGGCGGCACATCCTCATTTCCTAAATCTCCCTTTACGAAAATAGTCTAGCGCTTTAGAACGAGACTCGGAGGGAACAGTTTAATGTGCTCATATTTTAGCACTGCTATGATGTAGCAGCATGGAATACCAACAAATTCTATTTTCAAGCAGTTGCACTTCATACTATAATTTTAAGGAGAACATATGACATTCCATGTTGATTCTGGTTGCGTGTAGTGAGACAAGTAGTAACTACAATGGATCTTGTTGTCAATTTTTTGGACTGCAAAGAACATGGATTCGGACTTCAACTTATTGCGCACGTTGAAGAACAATTTCCTTGTATATATGGATGCTGCATGCTCTTCAAGACATGACAATTATGTGGTTGTCACTGGGGATGTGTGCTGGGTATCATGGTCATCATTTGCTTCATTCTTCCTGATCCTTGCCAAAGCCCGGTCGTATTGCCTCACAAACTCAAAGAGTCAGAGATGGGTCTTCAGAAAACGATTGAAGTATGAGTTCATACCCTCACATCGTTGTATACTTTTTATGCCCACAAAGAATTTACCTCTTAAATATGCTTAGCCCATTTTGACCGTTTGGAATAAACTTCTGATATCCAATTATTATTCTCCAATCCAAATGAATCCACCAACGCTTTCCATCGATCCACAAATTCTTTTGGACTACAACGATCACACATATAATGTTTCAATTGTTGAACAAAATTTTCAACACTAATATTTGACAACGCATTTCTTGTCAAATGCCACCTGCATAATCTGTGTTGTATTGGGGAAAACTTGCTCTATTGCTCCTGCCATGGCCTTATCACTATCAGTGACAACTGAAATAGGCGTCTTACCCTCCATTGCACGAAGAAAAGTATGCAATACCTACATGTATGTCGCAACAGTCTCATCTAAGAGCAAGGCGCACCCAAAAATTGATATTGCATTATGGTTGTTGACACCTGCAAGTATAACAAAAGATTTCTTGTAGGCATTAGTTCGGTATGTGGTATCAAATACCAAGACATCGCCGAAGCATGCATAGTCAAGCCGTGACGATGAGTCTGCCTAGAACAAACAATTTTGTGAATTATCTTCATGGACACTATAGTTGAAATAGAACATAGGGTCTGATTCTTTTTTTCCATTATAGTAGTTTAACGCCCCCTCTGTATCACCGTCTTGAAGTTGTGATTGGCGTTCTATCACAACATCATCGTTCAAATCTTTCATGGTAAATCCAACATTATGATAACTTCTTGCTTGTTGCACCAAAAAATCCCTTACTTGACTTGTATGTATGCCAACATTATGCAATGCATTTGTTTGTTCTCTATCGAGACTCTTCACACGCCTATGCGATAGAAGGAATGGCACACCACGTAGTGTAACCAATTGGTGATTATGTTCCTAGACAAATTCCTTTACAATCCACTATTCAGACCCATTGTCATACTTGACACGAAAAGTTGCGTTACATCCCACCCTTGTTAAGCCTCTTGGTTCCCGAATGCGGTCATTGCAGTCAAGGTGTTTGGGTGATCAATAACCTTCTCTTGAATAAACCCACTGTCTTGACACTAGAATTTTATTTTTGTTACACTTCAAGTCATCTTTCCAAACACTAAATCCCAAAAATTTTGTGTAATTGTTATAAAACTCCCCAGCCGCTTCATGTGTGGTGAATGTCATTTGCATTACCTCACCCACTGTCAACCCATTGACTCTATTTTCCTCGACACCATGATCAAAAATAGTTTGATCATTTTGCATATGATTCTCGTACTCAGCATCTGTTACGGCAACATTAAGATCTAATACTATACCTTTACCTGTGTCACTGATCGTACACGCCATTACTACACCTATGGAATTACAAAAAAAGTTGGAGTTATAAAATGTTTGCTAAATTTGAGACAATTTTTATACGATAATGCAGAATTCATGTTCATTCTCTCAATAAAATATTGCATATATTATCAGCAATATAGTATTTGAATAATTATGAAGGATAAACAAACTATTACATAAATACCACAATTATAGTACACATATTATTACCAAATGTTTGATACCTGAGTAAAACTGAATATAGTTGTAGGGAGATTAATTGAATCCAATTCACATCTTCCGTGCACTTCTATTGTTTTAAAGAACATGGGTATATTGACTTCTTACAAACATGTTTGGATGTAGTGGAAAGAGTCAAGGAGAGTCTTTGGTAGTTGGGATATTTACTTGTTAATTCAATGAAGTTACTTAATGACAATTAAGATGCCCTAGTTGGGTTGGTCGGGTAATAAAATTAAGATCCTCACCAACTAAATTGTGATTAAACGGGTTATGCATGCATTGTGTTAACACATGTAGGGTCAAAATTAATTTTGACTTCTTCCTGTAGGTGGACTCCATAAAAACGGAAATCCCGCTCACCCATTCCCGCTGCAAATTTCCCATTTTTTCACTCCCTTTCCATTTCTTTATTTCTCTCTATCGTTCTATCGCTCCATCTCTATATCTCTTTTTTTTTCTCTTTCTCTCTATCCAGCCCTGGCTACATCACCAGCGCCACATATTTTGTCTTCTCCCTGGTATCATTCTTATCTTCCTCTCTCTCTCTCTCTCTCTGTCTCTGTCAAACACACACACACAAATGGAACACACAAACACAAACAGAACACAGACACAACAGAGAACATACACAGCCACATTTTGCAAAAAACACTTCGCATTTGCCCCCTCCACCAAGCGCACACACATATCGCTCAAGACACAAACTTTTAGAAATAGGGCTTGTAATTTTGACAAAATTGATTATATTAATAGATTTTTTTTTTGGAGAAAATTATTGTTGTTAATTTGATGGGTTAAGGCCATTAATTTGAATGCATATCTCTTAATTGTTGTTAAATTTAATAGATATGCATTCAAATTAATGGGTGTGGGTTTGTATTAAATGAGAACTTTGTGTTTGGTTACGACGATACTTCGATTTGGATTGTTGATCAATTGCGAATTTGAGTTGATTTGAACTCCGTGTATTTCTATTGTTTAAATTCTCTTAAAAACAGTTCTCTTACCAATTGCCTCCGTTTTTTTTTTGTTTGTAGATATTTGTATGATATATGCACATTTGAACCATGAAAAGGAAAACAAATGTTGAAGTTGGGAAAATTATGACTGACAAGATGGTAGCTGCTACATCTTCGCAAGGTGGCACTTCGAGTGTTACTGCGAAGAGGAAACAAAGGGTATGTACTATGAACACATATATTACATGGACCAACTCTGCGTTATAACATAACTTATGTGTTTTGATATCTTTGTTTGATGCATTACATCTATATTCAGCCACTAATGGGTACACGTTGTTCGCCATCAAGTATCATAAAAGTTGTAAATGGGTTAACTGACGATCAGAAACGTGCAGCGAAGGCCATGGGTTTAGAAAGGTTTACCGCCATGAAATGCACTGTGGTCAGGAGGAGCTTATGTGAGTGGTTGATGAAAAAATTTGATCCCGCTACGGCTGTGTTACATATCCATGGTAAATCAATTAAGTTCTCCTCTGAGGACATTTATTACATAATGAGGATGTCAAACACAGGCATTGAGTTGGACACTGTAGGTTCTTCGGACCAAACAGAGGAACTTAAAAAATTAATTTTTAATGGAAAGAGGGAGCTGTCGTTGAATACTTTGGTTGGTAAACTGAAAGAATTAAAGCATGATTCATTTACTTTTAGGTGCTTATTTGTTCTATTCATAATAGGCCGACTTCTTTCCCCAACCATGAAAATGACAATTAATAGTTCATACGCCAAGCATCTTGTGGATGTAAATGTATTATCTGCTATAAACTGGAGAAAATTTGTTTATGATAGTATTATTGATGGCATACGAAATTTCAAGGAAAAATCAAGGCATAATATTTGTGGTTGTATCATTGTCCTACATGTATTGCGTTATTTACTTAGTTGCTAATTCATTGAACTGCTTTCTTATTCATGGCAGTTGTATTAATTACTTGAACGTTATCCATTTGCAGATTTTCTATTTTGAGCACGTGACACCAGCTGAGGAATCCTACATTCCATTTCTGTCATGGCCATTCCCTCGGATGTTAGTTTGGGGGGATAAAGAAATAGGCTAGCGAATGACTGTTCTAAAAAAATTGGATGGATACAAAAAAATAGGAATAACTTATGAAGGATATTATACTCTTTAATTCTAGTTTTATTGTTAATTTTTTCATAATGGAAGATATTCTTTACATGACGTGGTATTAACTAATACTTGGATTATCGTAGATAATAGTTACAATTGAAGAGTCACTCAATTTTCCTAACCTAGATGAGGGACCCAATGAGAGGACAACATTTGAACATTCAGATTATGTTCTTGTCACTGATGTGAGGAGTAAAGTGAGGACAACAGGCGTTGCTTATGCTCAAAACATGCAAGTTACCTTTATGTAGGATATATATGGAGGTAGAACAATATAAATCATTATTACTATTATTTTCAATGACTAACACTTCAATGTGTTATGTAGGATTTTGACAAGAGATCGTCTAAGGTTGAGGTTGCATTGTCTACATTTCGATCGAACCATGAAGCTTTGTCTGTCAAGTTCACATTTGAAGTTAATGAAATTAAAAAGATGCTGGAAACTCTTTCTGAAAAGGTGTGTAAAAATGGGAGAGATCCACCTACGGCGGAGTATGTGCATGTGAGTACACTATATTACTGTGTTATCCTTTACCATACTACATGTGTGTGCTGCTTTGTATATTTTATGTGTTGTAAAATGTGAACCAAGAATTATTGGATGACAATGAAGACGAGGTCCGGGTTGACAACACCAATGAAGTTATTTTACTCACAACTTTAAACGAATTAAATTTTTTAGTGCACATGGACCAAAAATGGCAGACACTCCACTTGCAGGTTGTTGATGGGTTGGTTCCCCATATTACTGATGTTAGTTATGAAGTAGGCAATGCAATATGAAACTACATTTTTCATGACAAACTTGATGCAGAGTATGTCACAATTACAACCATTATAGGGTGTTTATTATTTGCAGTTCTTATGCAAATTATACCTTACATGTTGTAATTTTACTGTGAGACGATTGTTCAGTTTGAAAAATTTCATGCGACAAGAATGACAATGAAGTCATTGGGACCAAGACTTTGGTTCCTGAGCGAGGTCAGTTATATAATTTTCCCATATTGGTATACCCAATTTTGAATTAACTGGCGACGGCTTAAATGTATGCATGTAAAATTTTGTACACAGTTAATCAATGTTGTTGCATACATTATGCCACCCACAGATATGGGGAACAACGAAACACAAAAGGCCAGGTGATATATTCCGACTTGGTTTGCGGTAATACTCCACAATTAAATTTTGGTTTTATGTGATTTTCTTCGTTTACTGCCTCTTATTGATGTTCAATATAAACTTACGTCTTTATAATTTCACAAATACTTAAATTGTAGCAAACAGTCATTTACTATACATCTGAGGGGAAAACTGGTGTTCATATGTAACGAAAACTCATGAGATTGTGTGGCCAATACATCCAGGGCATCAACATGGTGAGAAGGTTTGACTGGATAAAAACTGACAACAGATTCTGCATTACAAAATCATAATCTATCAAACTATGTACGTCACCATAGTGTACTGACTGCAATTGCCTTATGTAGATATATGTCTCCATTAACGACGGCAAAAACA